GGAAGGGGAAAGGGATGGGGAGTAGGGTAGATGGTAATAAGGGGTCAAGGTTTGTGGACTGTGGGGGGTCAAGCGACGGATGACAGGTGAGAGGGAAGAGGTACGTGTGTGTGAAGGGTCGGAGGGGGAGGGGGAGGGGGAGGGAGAGGAGGCGGAGATTAGTGCCTGAAAAACACGAGGGGGGGAAGGAAGACAGACACGGAGGACAGGGCCAGGGTGGGCGAGGAAGGGCGGAGGGAGGAAAGGGTAGGAAGGGGGGAGGATTGGAAAAGGTCCAAAAAGGGCGCCACCTTACCAAAATCTTCTCAAGGGGCATGCAAGGGTACCGACCTTTGCGCTGCCGTTAGAGAACAAGGCAGGATGAAAAAAGTAGGGGGGGGGGGAGGCACCAAAAAAAATATAAGGGGAGGGGGCTGGAGCTCTTAAAACAGTTTGGCAGAACTAAGAAGGGGGTTTATTCATGCAATACAAAAAACTATACTATTATACTAGTAGAGTATTAAGCTAGTAGTTAGTAGTTAAGTAGTTAGTATTAGTAGTAGTAAGTATCATTATACACTTATTAACATATTATACATCTTATGAACTAAAATAATAAATAGGCACCACTTAACAAGTTATTATAGGCGGAAAACAGGGAAAAAATTGACAAGAATATTTAAGACTATAAAAACTAGCGTGGAGAAAAAGTATGTACGATATTAAAAATACACATAAAAAATAATCTTATGAGTTAAACCCTGTGTACTTTGTCTCATGCCTTCTATGCTGAGTAGCAGAGAGTGCCCCCGCACAGTGCCTAATTTAATATTTTAGTCATCATAAGATGTATAAAAAATTATGTTAAAAAATAAGGTGTTATAATATACTTACTACTACTACTATCTACTACTACCTACTACTAACATACTACTTCAATACTCTACTAAGTATAATTGTACATAGTTTGAAGACTTGCATGAATAAACCCTTTCATTGTGCTGAACCACAAAACTTTTATAAGCTCCAGCCACACCTACAAACCCCCCCCTTTATTGTTCTCCCCCCCCTCCTTTTTCTTCCTGCCTCTGTTTATTACCCTCATCAATCGCCAGCGCCAAGTCGGGTACCCCACGCCTTGCCATGGACCCCCTTGAACGAAGAACTCAAGATTGAGTGGATCAGCTTAAATAGTTACAGTAAATCACCGTGCCCCTCAATTGCTTTGAGAACCCCCTATCTTCCCCTTTCCTCCCAACCCTTCCCACCCTCCCCTATATCTTCTCCCTCCCCCCTCTTCCCCTTCCCTATATCATCCCCTTCCCCTCCCCACCCTGCCCTGTCTCCGTTGTCTGTCTTCCTTCCTCCCCTCCTACTCCCCCTCCCCCCTCCCCCTCCCCCTCCCCCCCCCCTCCCCCTTCACACAACACGTACCCTCTTTCCCTCCCCCCACTGTCATCCGTCCTTACCCCCCACCAGTCCACAACCCTTGACCCCTTCTACTCTACCCATACCCCATCCCTTTCCCCTTCCCCCTCCCTTCCTTCTCTTCCCCCCTCCCCACTTCCTCTTCCCTCTTCCCCTTCCCCGTTCCTACTTCCTTCCCCAACCCCTTGCCCTTGACCCAACCCTTACCTTTTCCCAACTCCTGCTCTCATCCCCAACACTTACCCCATTCCACAACTCCTACCCCTATCCTCAACCCCTGCCCATATCTCCAAACCCATCCCCCGTCATGCCCATACCCCGGCCACATTCCCCCAGCCCCCCTTCCCCTTCCCCTCCCCTTCCCCTCCCATTACTCTGCCCTTTCCCTTTCCCCTTCCCTTCCCTATTCCTTACTCTGCCCCAATCCCCAACCTCTCCTCCCCCCCCCATTCTAATATCCCCATCTTTGGCGTTTACCCTCCCCCCCTTTTTAAACCCCCCAGTTTAGACCCCCCCGTTTCAAGACCGTTTTTACCACATTACGGCCCCTGTATGTTGGTCAGTGTAGTGTTGTAGTGTGTGCGTGTACAGTGTTCAGTCAGTGTCAGAGAGAGAGAGAGGAGAGAGAGAGAGAGAGAGAGAGAGAGAGAGAAGAGAGAGAGAGAGAGAGAGAGAGAGAGAGAGAGAGAGAGAGAGAACGTACACGATCCGTTTCCCGTGAGCACCCCTCCCCTTCCCCTATTTATCTATGTACCCCTATTGCGTGAATGACATCTCCCCTTCCCCAATAATGAGCCCCCCCCCCCCCATTATGTGCCTCTCTGATTATTGCCATCCTATCCATTCACCCTGTCAGCTGACCACCCACCCCCTCCCCACCCTTCGTTTCCCCTCACCCTCCCCACCCCCTAAACATCCACACTTGCCTCCCTTTACCCTCTCTCCCATTTCCTTCCCTCCCCTCCAGTCCCCTCATATACCATTCCTCCCTTCCTTTCTCCCTTTCCTTCCCCTACCCCCCTAACCCCTCCCTTTCCCCTCCTACTCTCCCTCCTCCTCCCTTCCCCTTCCCTTCCCCCTCCCCCTCCTATACCCTCCCTCCTCTTCCTCCCTCCTATACCCTCCCCCCTGTACCCTCCACCCCTCTCTCCCCCTCCTCCGATACCCTCCCTTTCCCTCCTCCCCTCCCTTTCCCTCCCTCCCCCTCCTCCCCTTCCCTCCCTCCCTTTCCCCTCCCCCTCCCCCTCCTTTTCCCTCCCTCCTCCCTCCCCCTCCTTTTCCCTCCTCCCCTCCTTTTCCCTCCCTTCCCCCTCCCTCCCTCCTCCTCCCCTTTCCCTCCCTCCCTCCCCCTCCTATACCTCGTGGCACCCTACTAACCGCTCTTTGGCTCTGTTCTCCCGATTGACTCTGACCAGGCGGATGAGCAGCACACGGGCAGCGTCTTCAAGTCCGTGAGTAAAAGAGTCTTGTAAAAATTCCTCTCTTTTTTTTTTAAAACTGCTGTGCCTGTCTGTGCTACTCACTCACTCACTTACATCATTCATTCATTCACTCATTCACTCACTCACTCACTCACTCACTCATTCACTCATTCATTTACTCATTCACTCATCATTCACTCACTCATTCATTCACTCATGTACGAATCCATGCAGGTAGTCATTCATTTTATGTGTGTTGGAGGTTGATTTCTCGCTCAGTCACTCACTCACTCACTCATTCGTCTACTCACCTCGGGCATCTTGATATATTTCTTGTTCGTTTTTTCTTTCTCTTTCTTTCTTTCTTTCTCTTTCTCTTTTTCTCTTTCTCTTTCTTTCTCTTTCTCTTCTTTCTTTCTCTTTCTCTCTTTCTCTCTTTCTCTCTCTCTTCTCTCTTCTCTCTCTCTCTCTCTCTCTCTCTCTCTCTCTCTCTCTTTCTCTCTCTCTTTCTTTCTTTCTTTCTTCTCTTCTTTCTTCTCTTTCTTTCTTTCTTCTTCTCTCTCTCTCTCTCTCTCTCTCTCTCTCTCTCTCTCTCTCTCTCTCTCTCTCTCTCTCTCTCTCTCTCTCTCTCTCTCTCTCTCTCTCTCTCTCTTCTACACACACACACACACACACACACACACACACACACACACACACACACACACACACACACACACACACACACACACACACACACAACCTACTCTCCATCTTCATCATAATCATTATCATCATAATCACCACTCATCATCTCCACCATCAATCATCATAATTACCACCACCATCATCATAATCATCATCACCACCAATCATCATCAATTATCATCAGTTTCATTCTATCAACATTCATCACGATATTCCCCATCTAAACGGTGCCACCCAGTGCCACCTCCGCCACCTGGAGGCACCTCATCCACCACCATCTGTGGGGCCATTGACAACTATTTGTGGTATATCCTTCTTATTTATTTATTTATTTTGTCAATTTATTCATATGATTTATTTTTGTTAAGCTTTTTCCTGGTTTGTCAATTGGCCATCATTGGTGAGCCACCAGCATGTTGTGCGTGTGTTTGTGTATTTACATCCAGGTGGCAAATTATTTTTGTTCGTGTGGTAATGGTATGGTATGGTAGGTTGTGGCTCGTGGATGTGGTGGTGGTGATAATGACGGTGTGAAGTGGTAATGATGGTGAAGGTGTGGTGTGGTGGTGGTAAGGTGGTGGTGATGGTGATGGTGATGATGATGATGATGATGGTGATGGTGGTACTACTACTACTACTAACAACAACAACACGCTGCCTTGCTTTGCTTATTCGCTTTGAAACACTTTAGACGCCCTACACTTACAAGTGTCTCATCTTCACCTGCGTGTGTAAGTAGTACTTCCTTTCCCGACGGTGGTTCCCAAACCCCCTCTGTCGCCACTGTAGTGTAAGTATGTGTAGTTTGACGTGTATGAAGAACACCACAACACCGTTTTGTATATGTGGTGTACTAACACTTAGATTCTTGTTTTCCTTCATCGCTCCCCAACCCCCTCCCCCCAGCCCATGGTAGGGGTTGAGGGGGAGGGGCAAGGGGGGTATCTGCATGTGTACCAACGGAGATCTTATTAATACCCAACACTGGACAAATCCTATGCTCTTTTTAACACAGTTATTCACACTATTGGAAAAATTATCCACTGCATCCACAAGTAAGGGACAAAGGTGGATATTTGACACGTTAATGAACTTTTTTTGAGAAAGATGGGAAGTAATATTGGATATTTGAGGCACGGTTGTTATTTTTCTGGCATTTCCTTTCGTGGAAGGAGAAGAATTGGTTTAATTTGAGAAGATAATCCGAAAAAAATAATTGGTTATCCACAATACTGGACTGAAAAGGCAAGGTCGAAGGGAGATGGATTATCCATGATGGTATTTGGGGAAGATTTTACTGCTGAGTTTTCCAAATTTCGAATTGGAAAGAGGGTTCGATCAGGCTTTTATCCAAAAATCTTAATCCTCACCCCCCATTCGATGCTCCTTCTCACCCTCATTTCTCTCCTAATCACAGTCGCTCTCTCCCTCACCTTTATTCCTCTCTCTCTCCCTTCCCTCTCCCTCACCCCAATTCCCTCTCCCTCACCCCAATTCCCTCTCCCTCACCCCATCCCCTCTCCCTCACCCCAATTCCCTCTCCCTCCCCCCCTCACCCCCAATTCCCTCTCCCTCACCCCAATTCCCTCTCCCTCACCCCAATTCCCTCTCCTCTATTCCCTCTCCCTCATCTTCTTTTCCTCTCCTTCACCTTTATTCCCTCCCCTCCTCCCCGTTCACCCCTCCCCCCTTCCCCCCCTCTTCTTGTTTTCTCCCAGCTCAAAGGGGTTTTAAAGTAGGAGTAGTGGGGGGAGAGGGGGAGAGGGGGGGAAGGGGTCGCAGTGGAACCAGGTTAGCGTACGGGACATGGCGGCGGTTCCACTTGTCTTCGTATGGCTCTCCCTTCCACTGCTGGAGGAGGACTTCGGCGCCGGGGAAGACGATGGGGAGGGAGGAGAGGGAGGGAGGTAGGGGGAGGGCGATTAGAAGAGAGGAGGAGGAGGAGAGATGGAGAAGGAGGAGATTAAAAAGAGAGAGGAGAGGAGGAGGAGAGATGAAGGGAGAAGGTGAAAGGAGAGAGGAGAGTAGCAGAGAAATTGAAAGGGAGAAGATTTTTCTCTTCCGCTTTTAAAAGAAAAATAGTTATAGAGCGAAGTCACCACCGCCCGCATATCATAGGCGTCCATCTCGTTTTATTTTGAACCGCCGAGAACCCCCAAATTTACATGAATGTATTGGCTGGTCGAGTGATTGATGGATGGACGTGGACGGGGGGAGGGGGGAGGGGGTGGGTGTGGGTGAAGGAGGGGGTAGGGTGGGTGGGGACGGGTGTGAAGGAGGGGTAGGGGTGGGTGGGGATGGGTGTGAAGGAGGGTAGAGGGAAAGGGGGAGGAGGGTGTTGAGTTAATTTAAAGAGTGCTGCTCCTCGAGGGTGTGGCTGGGGAGATGATAGGGTTTTTGAGAGGGGGGGGGGAAGCGAGGGAGGGAGAGTGACGGTCAAGAAGGAAGGGAAGGGAGGGAGGAGGTGGAGGTGGAGGGAGGGGGAGACGCCTCCTGCAGGTGGAGGTGGAAGGTTGGAGCAAAGGAGAACAGGGATAGAGAACGAAAACGAGGACGATGGGTAGATAGGTGAACGAGTAGATACTGAGAGATAGTGAGCAAAGCGGACTGTGGAAGAATTTAGACCAGAAGGGAAAAAAGAAAGACAACAGCAGCCAGTAAGACAGACAGACAGACAGACCTAAAACCAGACAAAAAAGGAGACGCGAGGTTGTTGACGTTGTCGTGAGGGGAGAGGGAGGGGAGAGGTGGGGGTGGGGTGGGGTGGTAGAGTTCCAAGCAGGGCTGTCTGGGCCTCCATTCATCAAGATTTTGATCAAGAGTCTCAAAACACCTAAATGTCAATGCGATGTAGATTTTGACCCGCGATATCGGCTTGTTGGGAAATTCGGGCGTCGGCGGGGGTTGGGGTGAGAGGAGGGGTGGGGTGGGTGGGGGTGCTGGGAGGTCTCGGGGGGGAGGAGGAGGAGAGGAAAGGAGATTGTTCGCTTGTTGGGGAAATTTTGTTTCGTCCTCGCTTAATTTTCCTTTCTCTTCTCTCTTCTCATCCTTCTTCCTTTTTCCTCTCTGTCCCTTAGCTCACTCCTCTCTCTCTCTCTCTCTCTCTCCTCCTCCTCCTCCTCCTCCTCCTCCTCCTCCTCCTCCTTCTCGTCTCCTCCCCTCTATTCTCCTCTCCCCCCCCCTGTTCTTCTCCTTCCCTTTCTCCTCTTCCTCCCCGTGTTCTTCTCCTCTTTCTCCTCTTCCTCCCCCCTGTTCTTCTCATCTTTCCTCCTCCCTCTTTCTCATCTCTCCCCCCCCCACCCGCACCCCTCATTTATTTAGAATGAATTTCGCTCTCGAGTCTCGTTTTCGTCGCTCGTAAATCCTCGCGAGAACTCCGTTTTGTCGCTTTTTTTTTTTTTTTTTTTTTTTTTTTTTTTTAATGCTCGGAAAACGGCGCGCGGGCTCTCTCCTCGGGCTCTCTCCTCGGCTCCTCCTCGGGCTCTCAGGTGCGGGCGGCGGGCGGCGATCCTTGCGGTAATGGTGGGCGGTGAGGGGTGAGGGTGGGGTAGGGTGAGGGTGGGGTGGGGGCGAGAGGGTGAGGGGGTGTGGGGTTGTGTGGGTTTTGAGGGGGTGAGGGTGGGTTGTGTGGGCGGTGAGAGGGTGAGGGGTGAGGGTGGGGTTGCGTGGTGGTGAGGGGGTGCGGTAGGGTGTTGGTGGTGATGGGAGGATGGGGGGCAAGGCATGGGCGGCGGTGAGGCGAATGCGTGGGCGTGGGCGAAAGTGGCCTTTGTCGGCGGCGGCGGCGAAATGCTCCAGGGCCGCTGTAAAATGTTTAAAGAGCAAAGAGCAATTAATGGCGCCACGGAAATCTGGAGCGGCGTTGCGTAAGAGGAGGAGGAGGAGGAGGAGCGGCGGCGGTAATCGCCTTCGCCATGATTGCCTCGCCCTTCGTCGTCGTCGTCGTCTTCGGAATATCAACTTTGGTTCTGTTCTTTTTTAGAGGGGAGGGAGGAAGAGGGAGAGGGGAGAAGGAAGGAAGGGGGGAAGGTTGAGGAAGGGGAGAGAGGGGAGAGGGAGAGAGTAGAGAGAAGAAAGGGGAGGGTTGAGGAAGGAGGGAGAGAAGAGAGAGATAAAGGGGTGGGGTGAGAAAACGAGTGCAAGGTGTAAATAAGGAATAAGAAGAAAGCTGATAAATTTGATTGATGAAGAAGGGGGGGGATTAGGAGTAGGGGAGGGGAGGAAAGGGGCTTTAAGGGGTGAGGGATCGGGCCTCTTTAGTCACGACTCGGAGATATGATCGCAGGTACGACTCCCCCCAACCCCAACCCCCCCACGCTACCCACTTCCCTCAGTCTCCCTCC